TAGATGCTACATATTATCATGTTTGGTGGAATTGTAAGAAAGTTAAGGCTTTTTGGATTAAAATATGGTGGGTTATGCAGAATGTTTTGAAGAGAAAAATTCCATTTTCCCCACAATTGTTTTTATTGGGTATAGTAAAGGGTTTTACACTGGATGAAATTAAGTTGATATTGTACATGATCACAGCAGCGAGGTTATTGATAGGTAAATATTGGAAAAATGAGTCTTTACCCACTATTGAAGAATGGACTTTGAAGATGGCCAGTTTTGCGGAGATGGCGAAGATTTCAGCATTTTTAAAAGATCGCTCACAAGAGACTTATGAATGGGAATGGAAAAAGTGGATAGATTATGTGCAGAACAAATATCAAGTTAGGAAATACCAAATAGCTTTTCATTGAAAGTATTATATAAAAATAGAAATGTATGAATACTGTGAGGGGGGGGGGGAATTTTTTTTTTTTCTAAGGGGGTTTGAGGGGTTCAAGTTTTGTAAAAAGGGGACTTTGATGGGATTATACTTCATGGAAGTCAGGGGGGGAGGGTTAGGGGGGGTTTGAGGGGGGTTAGGGTGGGGAGCGGGGGGTGGGATGGGGGGGGAAAATGGGGTGAAAATGTAATTGTAAAACTTTTGCAATTAAAAAAAAAATTAAATAAAAAAGCAAGAAAGTATACCTGATGGGACCTCGAAGAAGGGCCTTTATTATAGTGACTCCTTCTCTTTGGAATATCATCCCAAATAAGGTTGGTCCTTTCCTTGCTACTTTTCCAGAGGACCCCAAAGACCTCTTTCTGTTAGCAAATTTGGGGACCCCAGGTTGATTCTGAGCTGATCGAATGACTTGCATGATTGTGTTTGTCATCACTGTAGCATTTGGGGGATTTCTGGACTTTTTATATTGTTGATTTCTAACATTGTATACTACCCAAGGTCACAGTGTGCAATTTTGGGCAACCATATAATTCTATTAAACAAACAAATTATGGGGATTTTTACTGACTACTATGTTACAGAACAGTCTGTTTTCTCTATCTCTCTAAGACAACACTCTTGATGTAATCACGAGATCCTATTGACAGTGATTGGTTGAAGGGATTGATTCTCTAACTTGATTGTAAGCAAAAGATAATCTAAAGGCATGTGTGCATATGTCTGCCTGTTTATCTTTCAGTTTGGATTTCTGCAGGTGTTGAAGTATTTTATCCTATTGGGCATGAGATCTGACTTTCAGAATCTAAATGTTGTTAAGGATTCCGATTTCAATCAACTTGAAAGAGAAAGAGTAGTGAAAGATAAAGAACAAAGTATAAGAGAAAGAAAAGGGTTTAATCTTCAGGATTATGTCTGTAGAAGTGTATTATCTCTCATATTTGACAACTAAAGGTCGTTGTAAACTTTGAAACATGAAAGCAGGTAAAACAGCTCTTAATGTGGAGGAATTTACTACCGTATTTTTCAGAGTATAAGATGGACTGGAGTATAAGACACAGCTTAGTTTTTGGGTAGGAAAATAGGGGGGAAAAAATCTGCCTACCAGGTATTTATCTGGCTAGGGTCCTTCAGCACATTAGTTTGATAATGGTCAGCTTCAGCACATTAGTTTGCTGTTTTTTATCCCCTGCTTTGGGATTAAAAACATAACCATTGTTCTACATCGGTTGTGCTTTAGAACCATTGTTCTAAAGCACAACCAATCTTTGGAGAGAGAAACAATGAGAAAAGCAGGCAAACTACAGAGATCGCTTCACTCGCTAGCGCCTTGTTAGGGCTGAAAAAAAGTTTCAAAAAAGCTACATTTGGAGTATAAAACACACCCAAATTTTCAGCCTCTTTTACGAGGGAAAAAAAGTGTGTTTTATACTCTGAAAAATACGGTACTTTGAATATATTCTTTGTTCACATTGAACTAATTTCAATCAGTTACTTTGGTTAGATTCATTTGCTTCCAGAATCAATCCATATAAAAATTTAGAGATACAGAACAATCCTTGTATCTACATTCTGTAGAACAGTATATTCATTTTCTATAGTCTTCATGTACCAGAGAAAAAAATCCTGGAAAATATTACAAACATCCCATATGCTTATTATATTATTTTAAATGAAAGAAAAAGAGAGAGAGAGGAAGATAATTTCAGAATAAGCTTCCAAGCAGGGAATAGTATGAATTTCATTATGGTAATAGTGAGTTATTTCATTTTGTAGTAAAAATTTAATTTTGATTTATGTGAAAGGATATAGATGCTGCAAGTATATTTGGAGAGCCAGAAAACTATCAACTCCCGTTTTCAGCCCATCTATTCCATTTGCTTTGCTTCTACTTTTATTCTATAAAAATGGTCTCAAGGGAGTTGTTGGTGCAGCAAATATGGGCAATAGTTTGCAGTGTTTTTCAATGTCAGCAACTTTGACCAGCGGGAATTCTGGCAATTGAAATCCAAATATCTTAAAGTTGCTGACATTGAAAAACACTCTTTAGTATAAATACACCTTACACAGGCAGCAACAATGCAGTAACAGGACTGATATTATAATCCTTTATTAATCATAAAATAGCATTGCCTGAAAGTATTTTAGGAACGTTAGGGAAATCTTAATTTTCTTTTACCAGTACTTTCTGGTATGTTTGACTGATTCTGAATATCAATTTAAAAGAGAGAGAGAGATTTAGTTTTAAAGACCATCTCTTATTTGGTAAACAGTTTAGTGGGTTCAGCGTTCACTGGGTGGATCCTGGCAAAGTTAAATCCTATTGATTTCCACAGGTATTTACTTCTCTTTCATTAAAATCAATGGGAATTAAGAAGGCTTAACTTTAGTTAAATTACTTCTAAACATTTAAAAGTCTTCAAATGATATATAGACTGGTTTTTTTTTAATTTACAAGATTTATCTGGGGAATTTTTTAAATAGTATGTTTTGCTTGTACTATTCACCGCTCCTTCTGCTGAACTGTATAAATCTTTTACCCAATCAGAGTTTCAGACCACACATATAATCCCTTGAGTGGTTTTTCCGCTTAAATCTATTTTCAGAAACATTGTTTCTGCCAAACTATAGCCTTTAAACAACAAACTCATTGTCAGTCCCAGGCCACAGGTACAACATAATCTCTGTTGTATTCTCTGTTGTCATCCTTTAAAACAGAATGGCTTTTGGTGACATATACAAGCTAGATGAATAAAACCATGCTGTGAAAAATAACTGCACTGAATTCCACCATTGGCAGCACTTGTTCCAAACACAGATGTTTATCAAATATATCCATAGTTCTTCTAGCAATTGGCAAAACAACAACAATTGTTGGTCTCCTACCAAGATCTTGGGGCCTCATGAATTCCCCTCGACTATTTTTTAAAGGAAATAATAATGTTAATGTGACAGGAGGAAAAAAAAAGAGAACTATAAAATGATTGTATTTGTTTCAGTAGAATTAAACTTCATGTACTGTATTTTTTGGAGTATAAGATGCTCCGGAGAATAAGACGCACATTAGTTTTTGGGGAGGATCACTGCTGCTGCCTCTGATTCCTGCCACTTGGAACCAGCCAAAAATGCGGAAGGCCAAAAATGGGGTGTGCGGAGGCCAAAAAAGGAGACTGAAAACGTGATGCATGGAGGCAGCGATCGGTGGCCATGTGCTGTGGTGATCCCCGCAGCCTGAATGGATCTAAAACAAGGCGTGCAGAGGCAAAAAACAGCCAAAGGATGGGGGCCGATGGATGGGCAGAGCTTCTGTAACATTCGCTGTATAAGACACATAGACATTTCTACCCACTTTTAGGGGGGGAGAAAAGTGTGTCTTATACTCCGAAAAATATGGTAAATTGAATTAAATCAAATTTAATTTTTGTCCTCATCCTGCCAATGTTTTTATCTTGTTCCCATCTGCTTTTTGAAGCATGGACCTCTGTGAATACAGCATGTCTTTCTGCAATGGAAAGCTCTTTATATATACAAATTTGCATGCAGAATATATAGAAACCTGCACTATCAGGACTTCAGATAAGATGTTTTGTGTCATCACATCACATACAGGTAGTTCTTGAGTTACAAATGTAATGGAGCCTGCCCATTCCATCCATAACTTGAGAATTTGTAGGGGTGAATCTCGTACCTTGAATGAGATCACTCCCTGCTTTCGCCCACGCATTTGCTAATTTAATTTAACATGTCTCGTTAAGTGCACATGATGTATCTTGGGGTGGAGAAGGGATCCCCACAGTTGCTTCGGCCCCATCCTGCTGCACCGGGTGACTTACTTTATGAAGATATGTTTCCTCTCCAGCCTGTTTCTTTGCCTGCTCCCTCCTTTCTCATCAGCAAAGAGCTTGACAAGGCCTCTGGCAGCAAGAAAGCAGTGAAAATTTTTAGGACTTGTTTGTAAATGCTAGGGGGCGCTTATCACGTAACTTCGAACATTTGTTAAGGGAGCGTTCATAATCTGGGGATTACCTGTACTCCAACTTCTCTGTAATTAGGTTTTTACCACTTCATTGTTAAAAGCTACCTACATTTCAGTTCATATATCAGAGATCCTTTGCACAATTCTTCTCCAATAATTCTAATCAATATTGATGTGCCAATTATAAATCCATTTACCAGAGGCTGTACCAATTTATCTGAAATAATCTATTGTGCAAAGATGAAGCAATGCAGATCCGTAACTTATGTAGTTGCATGCAACATTGTGATGAAGGTACACAATGAACAAACAAAGTTTGTTTCATGACATCTTTGCAGGCCTGTTACAGTCATTCTTCATTGTAGACATATGTGTAAATATATATAAAGGAAATAATTAAATGAAGAAATCTGCATTGCCAATGCAATGTTCATATGTATAAAATGGCTATGTTCAGAACTGTGAATTAGAATCCTTTTGTAATTTAATTTCCTTACATTCTAAGGAAACCCTAGGTGGTGCTATTGCTTTAAATTCATGAGTTGATTTTCCAGCTTTAGAATACAGCTATGCCTTGTTCAGAGGTTGGACAATCAGCAGTTTTGTGAAGAAAAGTGGGAGAGAAAATAACACCCAGATATAATAGCAGGCAGTTTTCATGAGCCAGAAATTTAATATGCTTCATGGACTGGGGAAGAAGTAAGGCAAATTTAACTAACTTTATTTTTTCCTCTTTCCATTAGAGATTTAAACTTGTTAGACTCACTTTCATGCAGTTTATGCTTACATGCCAGCAGAAAGAGCCTATGAATGATGTATAATGTTTCCTTATAGACATTTAATTATGTTACATGCAAGAGTTACGGAGTGCTACGTTTCTGTGATAGGAAACTATTTGCATTTGATTGATGGTATTATTTTGCTTAGATTAATTAGGTGTTTTTGAAATTGTTACCACATGATGGATAGAATTATTTCCCACTAAATAGATCTGTCAAGGTGTCTGTATGTCCAATAATTTGCTCAAAAATTCAGAAAAAGCAAATCTGCTAATAATAAGAATCAAGCAATTTAAAAACATAGAAAAAAGGAAAGACGTTGTTTCAAAGATTGTTCTAAATGAAAATTAAATGGTAAATTAAGTGTAAGCAGGATGAATTGCTTCACTTATATGTTAATCAAAAGACATGGAAAATGCCATTGCATTTAAAAGCACCACTGTAATCAGGGCAAAGATTGTTACAAGATTTGTACAGCTTGTGTGTGTGTGTGTGTGTGTGTGTATGTGTATGTATGTATTTATGTATGTATGTATATATATATATATATATATATATATATATATATATATATATATATGTGTGTGTGTGTGTGTGTGTGTGTGTGTGTGTGTGTGTTCCCTCTAGACAGGTTTTTTCCTACGTAACCAAGGTTTTTCTGCAGCTAGAGGAAAAACACACATAAATCCTACGACGAAGTAAGAATATATATGTATGTATGTATGTATGTATGTATGTATGTATGTAGTTATTCGGGTTTTCTCCCGCGTCAACTTGGAAGTGTCTTGGTGCCTAGAAGCACGAAGCCGAAAACACCAGCCTGAAGATGACGAATGAGACTTCGTCAAAACGTCACCAAGACACTTCCAAGTTGACGCAGGAGAAAACCCGAATAACCAAAGACCTACATACAAACACCCACGAAAACCTCAGAATGTATATATGTATGTATGTATGTATGTATGTATGTATATGTATTTCTCTTTATCCAGGTTCTTCCTACGTAAACCAAGATTTTTTTTGTGCAGCCCTAGTTCAGTGAAATCACAATCCACTAGTTTCTAGGCTTTTTCCAGGCACCCTGCTGCCCATTGGGAGACTGACTTAGGGCTGCACAAAAGAATCTTGGTTTACGTAGGAAGAACCTGGATAAAGACAAATACACATAAAGGCCTACGAAAAGAAAAGAAAACACACACACAGACAGACACACACACACACACATATGCATAAAACTATGCTTGAAGTAGGATTGTTATTTCCAGCTTTATCCTAGTTAATAAGAATTAAAAGACGTGCATTTTCCCATAATGAAAAATAAACTTGGGTATTCATTAGCTTAAATGTATGGAATGTAAATGTCTTCTTTTGATTTCAGTCTGGTACAGTGGATTATTCCATAACTATTGCAAAAAGTATTTCAAAATACTTTGTCTGTTTGCAGGCACTGTATGCAGGAAGGATAATTTCACTGAATAGCTCTTCAGAGAGAATTTTTCTTAAGGTTTTTCCCAATGATCAGGTGATACAACCCTTTCAGGCCCAGGAACGTCCATATGAACATCTCTCCCAAGTCTTTACTGCATCGTATATCACCGTAACTCTTTCTTCTTTCACTGAAGTCAATAACCCAGTAATTGGGAGTGTGTGCAGAAAACTGAAATATTGAACTCTTGCCATTTATCTTATTGGAATTGTTTTGCTGCCTTGAATGAAAAATATTGATCTACTCGATCCCTTTAAGTACGAAATTATACTCTGAAATGGGGCCCTCCATATGTGGGCACAAGACAATTCTCCTCATTGCTCTGCTTTGGAAAAAGTCCAGAGAATTGGAGGCTGCAGAAGAACTCATTGAAGAGACTGTGTGATAAAATGATTAATTTGAGAAGAATTACAAGATAAAATTTAAAGAAAGATTTATGTTGCTTAGAAATGTCATTAAGGTAAAATTAAAGCAAGCAAGCAAGGGGCAAGAAGCAGGAAGAATGCATCATTTAATAAATGGTATGTATCAGAGCTATCTTAGTCACAAGACTGAGCACCTGGAAATTACTCCAGTCGGTAATCTTTGGGGCAGGTTCTTTGACTTGGAATAAGCCATTTCAGGTCAAGTGTTGCAATTAAAATAAAGGAGGGAAGAATAAAATGATTGCAGAGAAAAAGGCTAACTACATACATATATCCCCCAAGGCATCTTGGAAAGCAATACTGCCAGAGGCCATAGCTTAAACCAGTATTAAAACTGTGTGAGCAAATGAGAAGCAACTTTCCCATGTGGGCCTGTATGGCACTTGGACTTCAGAGGGGGAAAAAATCTTTCAGATGAACTCTGTGCAGGCTGGCCATTGACTCCTTTGACAATTTCCTATTTTAGTGGAACTTGTTTGATGAACAAGATTATAGTATCTTTATGCAGGGGTTTCTGCAGTAAATGGGTAATAACAGCAGTAACTCAATAACTCTGCCCCCTTTTTTTATGGGTTTGGCATGTAATGCTAGCTTGGTTATCCTTATTTCAGTTTGTTTCTGTATCTGGTTCTGGATTTAAGCTCCTAGCTCTTGATGCAATCAAAATTGAACTGATGCAGGGATGAAATTCAGCAGGTTCTGACAAGTTCTGGAGAAACGGTAGCAGAAATTTTGAGTAGTTCGGAGAACTGGAAAATACCACCTCTGGCTGGCCCCAAAGTGGGGTGGGAATGGAGATTTTGCAGTATCCTTCCCCCTGGAATGGGATGGGAATGGAGATTTTGCAGTATCCTTCCTCTGGAGTGGGGTGGAAATGGAGATTTTGTAGTATCCTTCCCCTGCCACGCCCACCAAGCTACACCATGTCCACCAAGCCACGCCAACAGAACTGGTAGTAAAAAAATTTGAATTCCACCACTGACCTGATGGTCCAGCTAATACTGGTTGGCACAGCTGCAAAAGATTTTTTTAAAAGACAGGAGGAAAAATGACCTAACCCACCCCCCTGCAATTCTGAATCCTGAACTTGCTCTGGAAACTAGTTCTTGTGAAATAAATATTTAACTGTTATTCATTGAAACGACAAGTTGAAATGTGGTTTAGCTTCATAAATATTTGAATGTGCTTCCATTCTACATTTATGTAAATTTTTCCCCTTCAGATCAGTATTAACCACCTGTTCTTACAAGATTTTAGAAACCTGCCCAGTTTTTGTCTGAAAGGAAGATTTGCCAAGAGACTCTTAGTCTCCTGGGTCTTAATGTATTACAAGATGCCATCAGCCTCTAAATTATTTGAAGCATTGCAAAAACTCATTCTAAGCAATTGGGGTAGGAAATTTCTCAAGGGAAATATGGAGTATTATATTCTCTATCATATTTATATATTGGGTTCACCAAATATAAAAGAGTGTCTTGATCAACGTATGCATGCCATTTTTAACTAGAAATATTTACAGATTAGCTTTTTGTGTGAACGAATTAAGTGCAAACTTCCTAGAACTGCGAAGGTGACTCCCATGTATGTTTACTCTGGAGGAAGGGCCACTTCAAAGAATGCTGGGAAACAAGATCTCTGCAACCAAAAAATATATATGAAATCTTATTTTTTAAAATTAATGTCCAAAGATTGAAGGTGAGTGGGATTAAACCTAAGTAGAGGTGCACAGGATGTCACCTTGATTATTAAGTGACTTCTTGGGGGCACGCACATGCAAATACAATGCAATGTGAAAAGTGAAAAGGAATGGAGAGACTCACCACAATAATTCTTCCAAAGTTAGAAATATTTGTCTGAGTTTGGGACAAACAATGTGTTAATTTTTATACATGTTCATGCACAGATCATTGGTTATTGTCAGTGGAGTGATTGCAAACACTTGTGATATACAGCAGTAAGTGGAGAAGAACAGCATCAAAGCTGAAGCAGATGGCTGAGTATTTCAAAGAATGGGGTCCCTCCATCTCCTCCTTAATCCTTCATGAGATGTTTTCTTTTTCGCTTTTTGTCCCTCACAGAAGTTATTCAAGTCTCCATCGAACCCAGTTTGAAACATCAAGAGGAATTCCTTCCAACTACAGAATCATTAGAAGACCCTCTGATAAGTTACCATACTTTACTGTACCTCCAGTTTTATCAGGCCTAGTCAATAGTTATCAGATGTGGATAGTAAAAATCCAGAAGACCACTAGATGGCAGCAAAGAGATACTTTGCTGCCATCTAGTGGTCTTCTGAATTTTTACTATCCAGTAAAAAACTGTAAATTTGCCACCATTTGCTTAATCATCTGGATTATTGCAGCCCAAATATAGCCACTGTAGCAGCAAGATAAAAGAAACAGAAATACCAATTTCTGAGGAAACCTTTTATGCAGTAAGTCCACAAGCAAAGAAATAAACAAAGCCCTGATTTTTTTTTTTTTTCAGACCGGCTATACTGCTTGGAGGCAAAAATGCATTTTACTCAATAAGTTTTATTTATGCTAGCAAAAGTATTGTATTGCTCCAAGTTAGAATGTACTTCATGTTGCCGGCTTTTTAGCAATCAGTCAAGGAGAATAAAAGGTTCCAGTGGACAATTGCTTAAACATTTTATTCATCTTTCTACCAAAACAAAGAAACAAAACAAAACCATCCATAATCCAATTTTTAATTCTTCCCATTTTCAGGAGAATTCTCTCTCTGTAGAGAATGAAAGAAAGGAGACTGAACTCCCAAATGTATTCCTTTGTACATTTTTTAAAAATAGTGCTACATCAATCACAGTCAGATTTTGAACACTGTATTATTGTGGCCACCATTACGGTTTCAAACTAACTTACTAGAAATGGAAAATTTGGGAATGCAAATAAACATATCATAGATTTTGGAAGAAAATAAAAAACATTATCCTGTCAATAATTACAGAAAGCATAAATAAATCCTTGGGATTGAGTAGCTTAATTATATTGAACACCAACAATACCAAGAAGATTGTAGATGCAGAGCATTTCAATTATATTTCCTGGTATTATTTTTTCATTATCTATCTATATTTAGACCTTTTAGAAAATGACTATTCCAATCTTCTCTAACCTGGAAACTTACAGATGTGTTGATTATAGTAATAAAAGCTAAAGTAAAGGTTTCCTCTGTCCAGTTGTGTCTAATCTAGGTCCGTTTCTTAGCCGATGGAACTTAGGTCGTCTAAAGACATTTCCATGGTCGTGTGGCTGGCATGATTATATACTGAGGCACACAGAATGCTGTTACCTTCCCACCGAAGTTTTCCCTATTTATCTACTTGAATTTGCATGCTTTCAAACTGCTAGTTGAGCAGGAGTTGAGACAAGGATGGGAGCTCAACCTGTCTCCTGGCACTCAGATCTTGAACCCAGGCGGTCAGCTTTCCAGTTGACAAGTTCAGCATTTTTAACTACCTAGCCATCGAGCCCCCTTGTAATAATAGTCCCAGTTAACCATAACAATGCCAAAAGATTAAATGCATAACTTCGTCCCTTTCATAATTGTGTTGTGTCACTGTAAGTTTTTCACAAATAATGTAGCTGTGCGTGTTTCATTGCCTTTCCACTCCACCAGGATACTGCAGTTGTACTTGTTAAATCTAACAAGAATAGTATGTTGGCTAAAGATCATGGGTGTCAACATGAAACAAACTTGTGCAGGTATGCCAGGGAAAGTATTGGAATATTTTTAAATAGGGAAAATTGTAACCAATTTTAAGTGTATTTAGCTTTAGATATGGCTCCAGGTGTAAAAGTTAAGCTGTGGCATACTGAAATCAATGATATACTATGGATGCCTATGGAAAATTAATATGTGTCAATTTTAGAATATATAAACATATATAGGAAAACATATTTCCAGGGTTTTAGCTATACATTCAGTATATACCTACTCATTGGTTTACATTTAAATTTGAAATATGTCATTTTCATAAGATTTTGGTTGCAATATGCAACCAATGCAATAAAAAGCAAAGTGAGTTAAACATAGTAGGTTATAAACAGGTTAATTTCTAGTCTATTTTAGAAATAGCTTAGCTGATTATGTTGGAGAATGTCAGAACATTTCTTATTTATCTGCAGCAGTTATGAATATAATTTTATACACTGTGAAACCGAGACAGCATTTTTCAGAGAAAAGTAAGAGAAAATCATATTAGAGAAATTAATATTAATTAATGTTTCATAACATTCTACACATTTCATCATAGCTCTATATTTGTGGAAAGTAATTTTCCATTTATTAGTTCTAAATCAAGAGTAATGAAACATTTTTCATGAAATGTGAAAACCTAAAAAATGAATCCTGCCATTGTATGTACACTTACTGTATCTGAAAGTAAGTTTTAGTGCATTCAATAGGTATTAGTTCTGAGTAGCTGTGAACAGTCGTTCATTGCATTGGGTCCTCATGATGACTTGAAGCATTGTGGCACATTTGTATGCAACCATCTTCTATCTAGAATCATAGAATGTATTAAATTGTAAAGGGTTTTATAAGTCATCTCAGTCAACCCTTGCTCATTGAAGGAATCCTCTAAATTAGCGGTTCTGAAAATGTACGCTGGGGATATCTAGAGTCCTTGACACCCTTTTAGGGGGTCTGCAAATAAATATTTTAAAATTTCTCAGTTTAAATATCTAATATAGTAAATATTCTGTAAATACTTACAAGCTAACAAACCACAGCTTTTGGGGTTTTCAATCACTTTTAAGAATGAAAGGAGAACCTGAGACTAAAACACTTGAGAACTGTTTCTCTTAGCCATCCCTTTGAGATATCCCTTTTTGTGATATCCTCTAGAGAGGATGTGCTTACAATGTTCTAAACAACTGGATTCATTGCCTAACAGCTCTTACTATCAAGAATTTCCTCCTGATATTCACTCTGCCTCTTCCATTTCATCTCAAGCTGTTGGTCCTTCCAGTATTGGAGTTTCTTTCTGTCACTTGTCAATAGTCATTCAATCACACTGAGGAATAAATGGGAAGAAAATCTAACCTATCAATTCCATTTAGTTCTTCATGAGTCTGAGCTGTTTTCTTAGACATAGACATTCTATTATTTAACCAAAAAATTATATTGGTTTTCTTTTTTTCATATTTTATTCTTAATGTTCACATTACACTTTTGCATATTTAATAATACCTAAACATTATGAAAAAATGTAGTGCAGTGAAAGTATTCCAAAGAGGTGCTGCAAAGGAATGGGAGAATGAATGAATTCTTTCTTTCAATTAAAACAGATGCATTTTGATGTGATTTTATAACCCCAGTTGTCTATGCGTTTGAATACATGCACACCCACTCCACTTTTCTTTCTTTCTAGCAGCTATTGATTCAGAAAAAAAGGAAATGATTTTATGACATTACCATATGGGAAAAAAATAATAAAGGTAGTCTTTGACTAACACCTGTAATTAAGCTTGAAATTGTGGGCAAAGTTGTTACAGTCATTAAGTAGGTTAACACATAATTGTTCTCAATTTTTGGGCCATTTTTGTGTCAGTCTTAAACAAATGCCATGGTTAAGTGAATGCTGCAGTCATGAGACTAACAGCATGATGTTAAGAAAATCTATTTTATCCAATCAACATATTTTGTCTGAAACTGGAAGTTAAACGCCAGAAACCACCCAAATCCATTGAAAATTGTGATCAACAGGTGAGCTGATTGCCAAGTGCCCAAAATGTGATCATGTGACCAGCGGGAGATGTAGCAATTGGAACTTTGAAATTTGTCATAAGTACTTTTTTTTGGAGAGCGGGGGGTTGTCCTGTCATAAGCAACCAATGGTTAGAGTAGAATAGAATAGAATAGAATAGAATAGAATAGAATAGAATAGAATAGAATAGAATAGAATAGAATAACAGAGTTGGAAGGGACCTTGGAGGTCTTCTAGTCCAACCCCTGCCCAGGCAGGAAACCCTACATCACTTCAGACAAATGGTTATCCAACATCTTCTTAAAAATTTCCACTGTTGGGGCATTCACAACTTCTGCAGGCAAGTTGTTCCACTTATTAATTGTTCTAACTGTCAGGAAATTTCTCCTTAATTCTAAATTGCTTTTCTCCTTGATTAGTTTCCACCCATTGCTTCTTGTTCTCCCCTCAGGTGCTTTGAAGAATAGTTTGACTCCCTCTTCTTTGTGGCAACCCCTGAGATATTGGAACACTGCTATCATGTCTCTCCTAGTCCTTCTTTTCATTAAACTAGACATACCCAGTTCCTGCAACCGTTCTTCATGTTTTAGCCTCCAGTCCCCTAATCATCTTTGTTGCTCTTCTCTGCACTCTTTCTAGAGTCTCAACATCTTTTTTATATAATGGCGGTGTTGTGGCGGCATCTTTTTTACATCATGGTTAAGTAAGGACTACCTATATTGCCTGGGCCAACACAACACACTCATGTTAGAAATTAACTTTTCAAAAAGTTAACTAATTAATTAAGCAGACTCTGAATGCCATGAATGACATTTTTGTTTTGCACTGTCTCTTCTATTTTGGCAGCTAGATAATCTGAAAGCAGTGCTTTCATTTACATTTGATTTCCAATTATTTAAATTGTGTTATTTACCAGAATTGTTTTCTGCTCTGAAGCGGATTTAGCAATGAGATAGACTTTCAGGTTGCTGCATCAATACGCTAAAGCCAGCCATGAAGCTTAACCAAAAAGCTAGAAAAATGACATTGAAATTAAGGCTACTGAGCTACCCTTCTAATCTACCAAGAAGTTTATATAAATACTGTTTACATAAAATGAATCATGAAACAGACAAGCTTAAATAGGTACTAAATCCAAGCTTTGTACATGACCAGAAAACTACAGAAACAATACCTGGTTTGTATGCATCTCTTTAAACTAATAAGGTTATCTTCCTCTCACAGCCTCTTAAATAAGCTTAATTAAAAGTAATGTAGAAAATATGTGAGTGGAGAGAAAAAGTAATTCTTGGGCTACAGATGCACTCAAAAATGTATTTGCATAATCATAAGAGAGGTTATTTCCATCTAGATGCTGAAAGGGATAATGCACAATGATTATTATAAGGAAATATGCCTGTCACATTTTTGTATTAACCATGAGATATTTGCTAGCATAAAAGAGACAGTGTGCCACTAATTTTTAGAAGACCTTTCTCTAACATCTAGCATACTGTAGCAGATACTACTTCTCTTTGGAGGCCACTGTTTTTGGATCATCAGTATCTTCATGTACCAGCATCTCAAGGGATTCATAAAATATTGACAATGACTTTTCTATCCTCCTGTCCAAAATGTCGAAACCATTTCTTTATACCCACTAAATTAAACATGAGGATCAGGGCTGGAGGCTGAATGCCATTTTCTTGCTTTAGTGGAAGAAGACAGTGCCATTCTATCTGCCAATCCAAATGCCATATCTTTAAAATGCCATTGACTTAGAAGGTTGGCTTATAAACCCTTTTGCTATTTGCTAAAAGTCTGTTCTATAATAGCACATTTCCCCAATATTCAATCGGTTGAGCAAATGGCAAGTAAAAGAAGCCTATACTATATGCATCTCCAACTGCAGAAGGGTAAGATACATGATAGCCTGACCTCCAAAGGCATGTGAATAATCATTCTTCCACTTGTTTGTACTGTAATATATTATAAGAAGGAGTTGTTTGTTACCTTGTTTGTAATTCTAGGACTCCCACAGTTCACATAGAACTCCCTGCAGGCAGGAACTTCCCCATTCTTTTTGATAAGCAGGAAGAATGCTCTACATTGATACACACAGGCAAAAATTATGAGCAAGAGAAAATGAGAAATGCATTATTCTCTAAATTAATCCTCTGAGATGCAGTCTCTGATACAGAACTGAAAGCAGCATGGAAAAAAGAGCTAATATAAACAAGAGTAATAGATACCAACACAACCATGCATGGTGACTTCATGTTGATCATGATGAGATTTAAAGTCCAAAATACTGCAAGTTAATTAACCTTTCATTTCTCAGGATGTTAGTTATTGATTGTCCACATCCACATTAGCACATTCAAAAGTCATTGGTCAACTCATCGAAAAGGACTAAGATGAGATGTTAACCAGTCTGGCATTGGATTGCTTTTTTGTATCATGGGATCAAATATGCAACTGAATTTGCATATTGGTTCCAGTCCAGAGTAGTCTTCATGAGGACCCTAGACCTGTCTTTGGGCTTAGGTGGTTTTTAGTTTTCTGTTCAGAAGGAGCTGGTTATCTGTGGGAGGAAGATCCCTGGATAATTCTGCAGTTATGGACAAATCAGTCTTTGGTCAGCTGAAGACTATTAGCCAGTACAAATCTTCACATTGGGATAGTGGATTCATTAAAATGGTTCAGTACTGATTTCTAATACAACTAGATAATTTCAAAATATACTTTGAAACTTTTTCCACAATATTTGCGGGTAAAACTATTGACGTTTTGACTGATCTGTGAAATATGGGCAACTGATCCCTTTACTCCTAAGCATCTCTTTGTGATGTAATGTACTGAGAGTGACGAAGCAGATAAGACTTCAGCTACAGAGAAAATGGATGTCTTCTTGAGAATGCATCAAATCATGTCTGGAATGAAATCCATTTGAGGGCTCATCTGAACTCCTACTCTACAATAACAGAATAGACAACAAAAGAAGAATGCTTACTGTTTTGTTTTCATTGTAATGAAAACAAAAGGCTGCACAAAAGGCTGGCGTTAATATTTCCTACTGTGGCATTTTCTCCATCAAGTTATTGGAGGAAGAGAATGGACACACGGTAAATGACTTGACTGTTTTTTGCAGATAATTTAGATCAGGCTTCAGGATGGGGGCAGGATAGAAGGATGTAAACCTGACATCCAATTGTCCTATAATTTCCCATATTAAATGGGAAGAAACTGCATGAGTTCTGGTGGACTCTGAAATCCCCAAAGCCATAGGAGACTACAAGTTGCAAATCCTATTCTATGTTCAAATCATAAATAATTATATAGTATAAAAACATGTTCTCTGTGAATTTTTCTCCCCTTTTCTCACTTTTTGACACTATCAGAATGTGATAGAGTTGTGACCACACAAACATATTTTTGAATATTTCCAATATTTCTTCTATATCTTACTTTTTTAAAACAACAAACAAAGTTAGATTCCACAAGATAAGCAAACATTAAGAACAATTTGTGCTTTGGCACAGGATATAACTAAATTTATTTTTTAAATTGTTCATTTTATACATAATTCTGTATGTGCATCTGTTGCTACAGGTGTCATCAAATGTTCTTTAAACATTCAGTTCTTTTGAGGACTTAAACAGCCAAATGAATATTAATAAAAGTAATAAAATGGTAATTCTTACATACATGATTCTTTTCTGCAGTTCTCTGATTTCTTGGACAATTCTTGAAAAGTGGAGTTCGTGATTTTCTTACAAAGTGGAATGAAAAGCAGATGAAAATGCCCTAGCAGTGAACCATTGGATACAATACTCTGCATCACTGGGTATCCAAATTATTTTCAGATATTTTGGCATATATACAATTTATGTGCTGCATTCTGTTAGCTAGTACTGAAGATCTGTTTTTCAAGCATGGATTATTCTATGAACTCCTCACCTCTTGCTCATACTAATCCCTTTATCAAATCTCCTACGTATTCTGTAGAAGGCTAAATTAATTTGAGTGAATTCAAATACTCTACAAGCCTGTTTATAGTGGAATCCACAGTAAAATTTAGGCATGCCAACACTCCTGTTGTTTTAAACTCCCATCCAGTTTGGCATAAATGAGGAACATTAAAAAAATGTTGACATTAGTTTGAGAACACCCTTAAACCTACCCACAACATCACAAAAATGGCTCTCAAGGAAAATACGTCCATGTCCATTTACTAGAAATTACAGCAGTAAAATTGCTCCTTCTCATCCTGTCTAGCAATTTAGGATGCTGTCTTACCAAGCTGATCTTTGCCTTCTCAGGTAGTTATACTTTCAAATAAAATGCTGGGTTGCAAGCTACCCAATATAGTTGTTTTCCCTAAGATGTGATCTTTGGTATATGAACATATCATTACAGACTGGCAGATTGTTAGTTTCTTGTTTAATGAGGAATAATAAACACTGAATGTTGTAGGGAAACTCAGGTATAAAAGTTGGTATCTATGGATGGACTAGTACTTAGGGGCACTATGTTGGCAACCTGCTGTCAGTGAGTCACATCCTTCAGGTTTATCTACCTATCCAATTTGACTGAAGAACAATGATGAACCACTAACTATTTTTCAATGGAGATAATATACAGTGTCATCCTTTATGGTTCTCAACCCATCTCTGTCTATCTTTTTCCTGCAATATAACAAATGAATGTTTTCTTACTTGTGTTAGCACAAACATTACTACCTGGTTAGCCTGGTAATGTTAATGTTAGCAAACAACTCAGTGAACTACTGTTGTCATAGGAATGCTACTTGCATAATACGCCATTGTCCTCTGGATCAGAGGTGAAATGTTCCTGGTTAAGACTGGATTGCCTGATCTGGTAGCGATGACAGCGGGTGGTTCGGAGAACTGGTAGCAAAAATCCCTGCCCAACCCCAATACCCAGCTGAGCCATGCAATCATCAGACGCTTTTTTAAAAAACTTTTAAAAGCATTTTTTCTTCGGCTGAAAAAATGCTTTTAAAAGTTAAAAAAAAAATCCTCTGATGATCGTGCGGCTCAGCTGGGATTGTCAGAGCCTTTTAAAAGCATTTTTTCTACAACCTCCTCAGCCGAAGAGGTTGTAGAAAAAAATGTTTTTAAAAGTAAAAAAAAAAAAAAAGTTGGCCATGCCCACCCAGTCACAATACCCCACCACCAAGCCACGCCCACAGAACCAGTAGTTACAAATTTTACATTTCACCACTGCTCTGGGTCCATTTTGTTTTTGGCTTATGGATTGTTTCCCTTGTCTGAAAACAAGTTAACTTTTTCTCTTTTGTTTAACCAATAGACTGAGAGAAAAGACAAGATTTGATTTCTCACCACTTTCTCCATACCGGGCAAGAATTTATATAAGCTATCTCTTCACAGTAAAACAGCATGTGTGAGTGGGCAGGATTTTTTTTTTTTCAATTACAGTGATTAATGAAATCAAACTGTCACTAGTGTGAATTTAGTTTCTGAAAGCAAGAAAACTTGTTTAAAATATTTGTTGTAACATGTTGCTATTATGACATGTGGTTTTCCATAGCTCAAGAAAAAGAAAAAGTCTCTGCTTTCCACACAGTTTTCTTATCTGTCTAATCAAAGTAACTTGAGCTGACAGCTGACAAAAACAGCTCTCCACAGAACAAGATAATTTACCTGCATGCAGCTGAAACAGAAAAACCAAACTATGAGTACATTTATACTCCCTGGAGGAGTAGATAGTTATATGTAGAGATGAAGACAGTGACGCTCACATAACGCAGGCTTGAGAGTGAGAAAGATGTTTGCAGTTTAAGGTGATCTAATAATCGAGAGATGAAGCGATACACTTAATGCATGTCAAAGAGAATTCTCAAGCAGAATGAGAATGCTTGGAAATTGGGCTACCAAATCTGGCTTGCAAAAATCCCAAACCACTTGCTAACAATAAAGAGATACATAAAATTCAAACTTTCTGCTGGCTTGAAGCACATGTCTTGAATTATATAACCTATATCCAATAGTTTGAATGCAAAGAGAAAAGGACAAATTAAAAGAAAAATGAATTATTGCAAATACAAGTTAAACCAAACACTAACTGAAAAAATAGACACTAAGTTACTTTATGGGAAAACAATGGCTTGATTAATATTAATGAAAGTGTAACAATCTATCAATAAACCTGTCTCAGGGGATACACACCCTTTGAATGCACCTAGCTTTCATGTTATTTCCTTTGAAATATTTAAATCCACAGTTCTTGTTACATTATGCAACTACTTTGCAAATCACCTGGTTCTCAGCCAACAGCAGGATATTATTTGCACAGAAAAGTTCACATATATTCACGTTGCCAACCCATATACATCTAAGACCATCACAAACATGTTTTCTACGTTCATCTATACATAAAATAAACAACTAAGAGAACATCCATGTTTTATTTCCAGGTCATGGTTGAATCATTCACTAAGCATCAATTCTCACTGGACTTTACTTCCATCCTAAACCACTTTATTTCATGTTTTGCAATATCACTATAATTCTGTTGTTGTTGTTGTTATTGTTATGCATCATATCATAATCAATTCTTGATGATTTTGAATAAAAACTCATTGAGCTATTCTTTTTATTGCATTACACAGTTCTTGCAGGTGCATTTCGGTGGCTTCCAATAGTCAATCAATCCAGCACATGTGCATTGTAAGCCCCTTCTCCTACTCTTCATCTGGTCCAGCATAATCCTCTTTTTCAAAGATGCATTGGCCTTCGTGATATGTCCAAAGGATTATAGCTTTTGTTTCATGTGCGTTGCTTCCAGTGAGTAGTTTGGCTTCATTTCCTGTAGTCTTTTATTGTCCAAGAATGCAATGAAATGGTACAGGCCACTGGCAGGAGTTTTATTGATATCTTCCTGGACTTGTAAGGAGACTTTTATTATTAAAAAAGTTAATAAATGTACTTATTTCTTAATTTGTAATTCAGCACATGTCACTAAATTTACACTACATAGCATGTCTATGTTCATGGGCATGTCTATATCCCAAAGAATTCTATAAACAATTGTTTTTTGTTCCTTGAGCTACAGGAAAGTCTTTAACCACCTTGAAGTTACTTGGCTTATGTTGCTGCCAGATGATGATGTTCTGAATTGCTGCTCAAGCATTGGCTTTGCAAAATCTTTCAGTCTATTTGGGGGGAATAGACGAGGGGGAAGAAAGGTGCTTTACCAGCTGCTGGCTGACTGTGGGCTGTCAGCATCTCTGAGGGACTGGAGTGGCTGCCAGGCTCTACTCTTCCAGCTCTTCTGCTGTTGACTTGCTCTAATCCACACCTACTTCATTTTCATCATCAGTTGCTTGCTATGCTTACTTTATCCTGATGGTGGCTGCTCTGCTCTCACTTGCAATTTTTTCTTCTCTGTGGTCTCCCACAAGAATATTCTTGTTGCTGCCGATAAGTACTTTGTTTATTAGGGGAAACTAGACTTTGCTAGCAGGAAATGATGCAATCATTTATTTGATTCATTAATCAGGAAGAGAGATAGTCTGCTAACTATTCTTAATTGCAGGAGGAGGACATTGCCTCCCTTCAGACATAAGAGATCCATAGAGATTTATTTTTATTTTTATTTTTGGTAGTTCTGCAAATCTTCGGTCCCTTCGCCTTTCACCAGCTGCCCTGAATCAATAGATCATTTTGGCTAAGTAAGCAATGGCAGTAGGACACTTTAAAATTGTTAATATAATATATGATGCTGTTGACTTCAGTGATACAATGCTTGGCCATGGCTGGAATAACAAGATACCAAGCCAGCTACATCAGCTATGATACATTTTTCTTTTATTGTATATATTTCTAAAGCATATAAGAAAATATATCTGACTTGGCATATCTTGTCCAACATTTAAGGATCCTTGAAATCCAGAAATGAATAAATAAGCATGCATTTCTATATCTGCAGCTAGCATTTAGGAGTATATAGGATTATACAATATAATGTAACAGTATGTAATGTATGAGAAGAAAGATTTAAAACTCATATATTATAGACCAGTGATTACGAATGTATTAAAAAGCAAGAATTTTTATTTGCAGAGTTAATTATTTTAAAAATAGCCCATTTCATTAACCTAATTGCCACTGCAGCACAATAAAAAGCAACAAAAACAACATTATAGCAAATGATACTTCAATATAATTTCAATCAAAAGCTTAGGTGAATAAGTAAAAGTTTAGTGGATGCTGAAGGCTAACAAGACATAGACAAGACATAGGGCCAACCATTATTGAATAATTACTGCAACATGCTTTACATGTTGTCTTTCCTTGACGAAAGGGCTTTCCTTGAAGAATATCCAGAAGCTATAACTGGTATAGAACGGAGAAGCACAAACAGTTCTGGAAGCCCATAGGGTGGAAAATGCAACACTGTTGTTGCACAACTACATTGGTTGCTGGTTTGCTTCAGGGTCCAAATTCAAAGTGTTTAAAACCTTAATGGCATGGCTCCAGGATATCTGAAGATCCATCTCATCCTAATGGGATTGATGCATCCCATTTGCTCTAGTAGAAAAAGTTTTCTATAGACCTCGTGTGCTAAGGAATTTCAGCTGGTGGGGTCCAGGAGAAGACATTTTCTACTATAATGCCAGTAGGTGAGATCTACCCCCCCACCTTTGGCCTTCCAGAATGATTTAAATTATCTTCTAGTGAAGACAAGGATCAAGGAGACATGATAGCAGTGTTCCAATATTTTAGGACTGCCACAGAGAGGAGCAGGTCTATTTTGCAAAGCACCTGTAGGATAGACAAGGAATAATGAATGGAAACTGAACAACCTGGAAATAAGGAAATATTTTCTGACAGTGACAGCAATCAACCATTTCATTTCATTTCATTTCATTTCATTTCATTTCATTTATTAGATTTCTATACCGCCCTACTCCCGAAGGACTCAGGGCGGTGCACAGCCAAACAATAAAAACACATACAATACAAAATTTAAAAAATAGAATAAAATCAAATTAAATAATTTTGGCCCCAACAAATTTAAAACCCCAGACTTTTAAAACCAATTTAAAATTGAATATATAAATACTAAAAGATGTTTAAAATTTTAAAAATCTTTTATAAAAGAGGGGGAAAATTAGGCCAGACCGGCCTGGTGAAATAGTAAGGTCTTTAAGGCGCGGCGGAAGGTGCGCAGATCCGGGATCCTCCGTATCTCTGGGGGGAGCTCGTTCCAGATAGTAGGTGCCCCCACAGAGAAGGCTCTCCCCCTGGGGGCCGCCAGTCGGCATTGTTTGGCTGATGGCACCCGGAGGAGCCCCTCTCTATGGGAGCGTACCGGCCGGTGGGAGGCTATTGGTGGTAGTAGGCGGTCCTGCAAGTACCCGGGTCCTAAGCCATGGAGCGCTTTAAAGGTGGTAACCAAAACCTTGAAGCGCACCCGGAAGACCACCGGGAGTCAGTACAGCTCGCGCAGGAGAGGTGTTACATGGGAACGCCATGTCGCTCCCATTACCACCCGCGCGGCCGCACTCTGCGCCAGTTGGAGCCTCCGGGTGCTCCTCAAGGGGAGCCCCATGTAGAGAGCGTTGCAATAGTCCAGGCGGGAGGTGACAAGGGCATGAGTGACCGTGCGTAAAGAGTCCCGATCCAGAAAGGGACGCAACTGGCGAATCAGGCGAACCTGATGAAAAATCCTCCCGGTCACGGCCGTCAAGTGCTCTTCTAAAGACAGCCGTGAATCCAGGAGGACGCCCAAGTTGCGAGCCCTCTCCGTGGGGGCCAATGATTCGCCCCCAATAGTCAGTGATGGCGTCAACTGACTATATCGGGACGTTGGAAACCACAGCCACTCAGTCTTGGATGGGTTGAGCCTGAGCCTGTTCCTCCCCATCCAGATCCGTACGGCCTCCAGGCACCGGGACATCACTTCAAGGGCATCGTTGGGGTGATCCGGGGTGGAGATGTACAGCTGGGTGTCGTCAGCGTACTGATGGTACTCCACCCCGAAACCACGGATGATCTCGCCCAGCAGCTTCACATAAATGTTGAACAGGAGAGGCGAGAGGACCGACCCTTGCGGCACCCCACATATGAGGGGCCTCGGGGTCGACCTCTGTCCCCCTGTCAACACAGACTGCGACCGGTCAGAGAGAAAGGAGGAGAACCACCGCAACACAGTGCCTCCCACCCCCAACTCTTCCAACCGGTGCAGCATGATTCCATGGTCGATGGTATCAAAAGCCGCTGAGAGATCTAACAGGACCAGGACAGAGGAGCACCCCCTGTCCCGAGCCCTCCAGAGATCATCAACCAACGCGACCAATGCCGTTTCCGTGCTGTACCCAGGCCTGAAGCCCGACTGGAACGGATCCAGATACGTCATTTCATCCAGGTGCTGGGGGAGCTGTTGCGCGACCACACTCTCAACAACCTTTGCAACAAAGCGAAGATTGGAGACCGGATGATAATTTACCAACATTGCCGGGTCCAGGGAAGGCTTCTTGAGGAGAGGCCTCACCACCGCCTCTTTCAAGGCGGCGGGGAAGTCACCCTCACTCAGCGAAGCGTTTATAATCCCCTGGAGCCAGCCTCGTGTCACTTCCTGGGAAACCAGTTCTAACCAGGAAGGACACGGGTCCAATAAACAAGTGGTCGCGTTCAGTCTACCCAGAATCCTGTCCACGTCCTCAGGGGTCACAGGATCAAACTCATCCCAGATAACATTCTCAAGACCTGCCCCTGTCTCTCCCCCTGAGACTACCCAGTCGGAGTCCAAATCTTCCCGAATCTGAGTGATTTTGTCATACAGATACTGAACAAAATCCTCGGCTCTACCCTCCAAGGGGTCCTCCCGCGCTTCCTGGTGGAGCAGGGAGCGGGTCACCCTAAAGAGGGCGGCCGGGCGATTATCTGATGATGCAATAAGAGCAGCAAAATAACTACATTTCGCTGCTTTTATCGCCACTAAGTAATTCCTAATGTGGGATCTTACTAGTGTCCGGTCAGATTCAAGAAGACTGGCCCTCCAACTACTCTCTAGGCATCTTTTCCGGCGCTTCAACTCCCTCAGCTCCTCGGTAAACCAAGGAACCAATTGAGATCGGCGCCGGGTCAGAGGCCGCAAAGGCACGACCCGATCCAGAGCACCAGCAGCCGCCCTATCCCAGGCGGCCACCAGGTTTTCAGTCGAGGCGTGTGCCAGAACCTCAGGAAATGGCCCAAGCTCCGTCTGGAATCTGTCAGATTCCATCAGGTGCCTGGGGCGGAACCATCTTACCGGCTCCGCCTCCCTGCGGCGGGGTGCAGCGGTTCGAAAGTCGAGACGAAGGAGAGAGTGATCTGACCATGACAAGGGTTCAGTAACTATATCCCCTATATCAAGATCCCTCAACCACTGTCCAGAGACAAAAACCAGATCCAGCGTGTTTCCCCCTGTGTGGGTAGGGCCATGAATTAACTGGGTCAGGTCCATAGCTGTCATGGAAGCCATGAACTCCCGAGCCATCTCTGACGTCTCGCCCACGGATGGCAGGTTGAAATCCCCCATGACCATAAGCTTAGGGGTATCAACCGCCACCGCGGCAATGACATTGAGTAGCTCGGGCAGG